TGAAAAAGGTGTACATGTTCGGGAATGGAAGCATCAGGGCCCATTTTAAATTCCTTAAACTCCATAAATTTCTTTTCTCCTTCCCTTCGTTCAGCCCTTCGATTACTTAACTCATTTTGCGTCGCTCTCGGGATATTCCTGATGACTTCAGGCTCCAAGTCTGAATCATTATATATAAAAATAAGTTCTGCGGCGATGCATCTTTCTATGTTGTCCCCTTCCTCGACTTCGAGAACTCCCACTTGGAGTAATTCGAGCTTGTCCCTGTTCAATCATGTCTGAAATAGGACCAAGAAAATAATAAGAATGACTACAACCAGTCAATGTGACAGTATATGTCACAATAACTCGTAGAAGTATATCAATTTAAAGAATTAGGGCCAAAAAATTAATTTCAAGGATAAGAAAGACTTAACTTAGTTTCTTTTCTTCAGTTACAACGTGTTGATTGAAAACCACTTCTTTGAAAGAAAATCCAACACACATATGTAAATTTTCAGAAAAAGCATTTTGCCTTACAACCTTAACTTCAGAATTGGAATAAATATAGAGGCAATCTCATGACCAAAGTCATAAACAAATAGACAGTTCCAATTTAATACATAGTTATGCATAAAAGTGTTTCACAAAATGACAAAACAAATTAAATACATACACTCCAGCAATGAACTTTTGTTCATAAAATTTTGAAGATAGGTTATATTCTCCATAGTAGGCATCTAAAAATCCCTCTCCAAACACTATCAAAAAAAATTATCAAATAATGGACTAATCTTGGTTTCTTCAATTACATATATCTAATTATTAAGTAATGTCATTAAAGAGATAAGAATCTGTAGCCAACGTGAGTTAATTAGAAGTCAATTTCTCTAGGAACTTTATTAGATATTTGTCCAATATCTATCTCAAAGACCTTATTCCAATTAAGAATTGACAGAGCAATTAACTTTGGGAAAACCAAGATTTGAGAGAGCAACAAAAAAGGAAACTTTAAGTTGCTCTATTCCATTTCGATTTCAGATTGGCTTTCACGCCAAAAAAAAGGAATTCTATCAACAGTCAAAGAAAAACACTTTCAACGATAGTGTCTTTTTAACCAGTGAATCAGAATAACATACATTCTATTTCAACTATGCATTCAAACAACAGAACACGCAATCGGGTTTGATGTCATTGATAGTTTAATAATCGCGGGGCGAGAACAACATTAGAGTACTTGTCAACAACGCAACGGAAGAATTGTTGAACTCACCACCAAAATAATAGCCCCAAGTCGCATTCTGAATCTCCAGTTAACAGAATTTTTGTCACAAACTAGATGCCTAAAGTTTACTGTGTTCTTTCTTTTTTTTTGCGTGGGAGAATCTCTGTATTGAAGAGAAATATATAGAGACGAGAAGATGAGGAGAACTGCCAATCACTTTTTTTGTTTCCATGCTCCCACTTCTTTTTAACGTGTGGCACTTCTCCTATTCTTATGGAGTTAATAAACTTTCCTGATAATTAACTTCCATCAGCCTTATTTCTTATATGTGAGTCGGGTCAATCTATATGGGCGACTCGTAACTTAAACTCAACATCCTACAACCAAAAAAAAGAAAAGGACGAGAAAATGGAGGCAGAGGTGATTTAGGCTAGAGGAGGGTATCGAATGGTGAAGGAGAAAATTGGAGGAAAATGATGTTTGAAAATTAGGTGGGGTCCACGTTATTTTAAGAAAGAAAAGGAAAAAACCTAATTTTAGGTAGGCAACTCGTGTCTCAGAGAGTGCATTTCACGTGATGTGGGCTGATATGACCAGGTGTTTAGTTGATCTTCTTTTTTGAATAAGTAAAATGTATAGCTGAAAATGGCTTCAATTGTGATGTTCAGTTAATTGTTAAAGACAACTTAAAGAACGTTTATATATTTTGCCAAAATTTTAATTTGATGAGTTCAATCCTCATTTTATATAGACTCTAAGCTGTCGCTTGCATTGGTCTCCCAGAGAAACAAAGCAGAGCCCACACGCCCTGCCTAAAAACTTTGTAAAGCTAAAAAGAAATCGCGTTCACATGGACTGAGGACTCGAGCACGTTCAAAATATGGATATCATGCTTTGCCTTTAACCAAAATTTTCTATATTCGTAAAGCGGCAAGTAGGAATATTCCTTCTAATACCACTTTATTTCAAACCTTATAAAAAGACAAAACATGAAATATATTTTGTATTTTCGTTTCTTTTTCCTTGTCCCACCACCCTTTCTTTGCCCCATAACTAGATATATTGATAAAAAAGGGAGGACATGTGCTCTAGAAAAAAAAACCTTTTAACTTTTTGTTGTAATAAATCACAAGATGAAATGTTCCGTCCATGTTTATGTTGTTTTTCCTCAATTAACTCACATTTTTCACTAAGTTGAATCAATCGAATACTTGGATTATGAATCTTACCGATATCAGCCAATTAGTCGTGAATGCCATCGAATCGCACAATTGAAAAAGGTAAAGCTTCTATAAAAAATATATAGTCAAATCTTCTATAACAAAATCATTTATTTGAATATTTTTTGACTGATATAACAAAGTGTTATTAAAAAGCACATAAATTATAAGATAACATGAGAAATGCATACCAAAAAAAAATTAATTATTATAATAAAGTGTTGTTATAAAAGAAGATCGCTATAGAAAAGTCTAACTATACGAGCCATCATGTGGCAAAAGAGCTAGTTTGAGGTGTCCACAATTATAGTTGCTAAAAGTTGATTTACTAGATCTTGTTTTTAGAGTATTTTGTAAGACCTATAGACCATTTAAATCCTCCAATCAAAACAGGTGAAATGTGGATTAATGACAACTAAATGTACATTCGGTAAGTGGGGCAATGTTCTACCAAATATAGAATGCTTAGAAGTTTGACTTTATTGAAATTTTAAGACTTGCAACTTGTATGATCACTCTATCAATTAGTAGCTGGATAATAAGTAGCGCATATAGAAGTTTATGTGGAAAAAAAGTTAAAATAATTAAGTTAAAAATATGTCTTTGAACAGACACTTATACAGCTTGTTTGGATGGTTGTTCATCGTTTCATAATGTATCGTATTGTATGGTATTGTATTATACTGTATCATTTGATGCATATAATGTTTGGATAGATTATATCGTTTGTTGTTGTTTAATGATATCACGCATCAGCAATATGAAGAATAACCTTGCAATATTATAAAGAAAAATTATGATGCGGAGTAAATTTGTTATGTAAAAAGGTAGGGTAAATGATAAAATAAAATTATTTAATAGTAATGAAGGTGAGATGAGAGAAAAAGACAAGATAAAGACGCAACCACACCAAATCGGTCGTTACATAAAGTGACACATTTCGTCGTTACGTAACAACGGATTTAAAGATATGACACAATAAAATTTAAGTAACAACCAAAACAAACATCGTATTTAAAGTAATAATACGATATAATACAATAGTAACAACCATCCAAACAAGCAACTTAATATTCACATCTTCCAAATTTTGAATTTACTACGGTAAATAATATACAACCTATTTTGATGAATAAAGTTCCATATAAGATAATTATTGAAGATTTATTCCTATATGATAGAAATTGATTAATTGATGTAGTATTGAACAACCAAATGCCTCGTCATTTTCTCTCTTGTATTTAACGTTTTAATGAAAGGTTTAGTTCTCCCAAAATTTTGGTAAATTAAAATAGAATATTCTCTCCTTGACATCTAAGCTAGTGCTGTCAATACGAGCCAGCCCAGCCCAGCCCAGCCCAGCTCAAGCCTTGTGGGCTTTTAAATATAGCGCGCTCGGACAGGCCGGCCCATCATATAAACGGGCCTTAAAATAGTCAGCCCAACCCAGCCCTAAGAGGCCGCGGGCTAGGGCGGCCCGGCTGACCCTTCAATTTCTTTTTTTAAAAGAAAAAATTTTAAATCCTTAAATATTTTTTCGTGACATAGTCGATTAATCATGTATACAACTTCTATTTGCTTAAAGCGTACAAAAATATTGATATTTGACGAGGAATCTCGTAATTGAAATGCAAATTCTCTATATCTCTTGCTCTTCTTTTTAAAGTTACATGAATATTTTCTTAATACCTTTCTTTCATTTTCCTCAGATTCAGGGATTATTTTAATAAATTTATATGCTAAGGTTTTTTAATGTAGGATTAACATCATTTGTTGATTTCATCATTATAGTCCATAAAATTTTTAAAATTCTTGAGATTTGCTAGTGGTCAATTTTTTTTTGTATATTTAAAACTGATCTTTATCTATACTGAAGAGTAGTTTAAATATTAACAATATATTAAAGTAATCCAAACTGATCATTGGCGACTTAAAGTAATATTTTCTTTTGAGAAAAGATTTTATTGGCTACCTAAGACTTTTCAAGTTCGTTATTAATTAAGCAAAAGAAAAACTAATTTTGTCATATTACATGCATGTCAAAAATCTAAATTCTAGTTGATATGGAAAGGTAAATGAGCATTTAGGGTAGGGGAATAGGGAATATAGTTAATAGTTTTTTTTATTTTTTAATTTTTTTAATATTAAATAGTAATTAATTTAAATTTAATTTATTTTTGGCCCATAAGCCCAGCCCCGATCAAGCCTCAAGGGTCATTGAGCTGACTTGGGTCGGGCTTGTAAGCCTCAATTTTAAATGAGCTCAAAAAATCCTAACCCAACCCTACCCAAGTAGTAGGCTGGATTGGGTTGGATTGGATTGGCCTCACGGGCCAAGCCCATTTTGACGGCGCTAATCTAAGCACAGACTATTAGAATTTGGTCGTTTGGTACTACCATAGGTTAGACAAAATTTTAGTCAACAAAAGATAATTAAGTAGTTTGGTTAAAAAAAAAAAGAAGATAATTAAGTAGTTATAAACAGTTGATAGGGATGGAATTCCAGCTTAATTAAGCTAGCAGAACATTTTTAACATGTAATTATCAATTTATAAGCAAACTTATAAACAATCAAATTGATTATCAAAGCTGAAAGCCAACTTTAGAATTGATAAATAATAAAAAGAAACAATTTGTAATTCTTTTTTTTTTCTTTTAAATGCTAATTAAGGAAACCCCGTTGAAGCCCCAGAAAATGACGAAGCAACATATTCCCTCACTTCTTTAGCAATCACATCCCTCATCACATCCCAAAACCCCGCCGGAAAACTCTCCGTTTTCTTCTCCGGCAACTCATCGCCGCCCATACCCGGCGGTGCTAAGGACAAAGTCGTCATTGGGTCATCAAATTCACTGCAACAATTAGTCGTAACAACATTATTAATAGGAAAATTCCCTCTAATTGGACTTTCATTAGAATTCATATAATCCATGCACGGCCCAGATCCCGATGTTGACCCGTTAATTTTCACATCAGAAAAAACAACTGAGCTCTGTTTTTGCTGCTGCTGAAGTAACTGTTGGTAACGTCTTTTTAGTGTCGAATTCCAGTGATTCTTAACAGCATTATCGGTTCGACCCGGAAGTAATCTTGCAATAGTAGCCCAACGATTTCCATATTTTGCATGAGCAGCCAAAATGGTGTCATCTTCAGTTTGCGAAAATGGCCGGTGTTGCACATTTGGACTTAATTGATTACACCATCGGAGCCGGCAAGATTTACCGGACCTACCCTTTATATATTTACTAATTAAAGACCAATTTCGAGCCCCATATCGCTCAACAAGTTTTGTTAAAATCTTATCCTCTTCAGCACTCCACGGTCCCTTTATTCTCTCGGATTTTTTCCCATCTCTTGGTGTTTTACCAGAAAGTGAAGATTCAGATGAAGATGATTCACATGAAGATGAAGTAGTAGATGTCGAACACCTGTTTAAAAATTCCATTTTGCAAAAATAACCACAACAAGAAAGATAGTTAAGGGAAATTTTGAAAATGGACTTGTTGTGTTTGGGTTGAATACTAATGGTTAGTTTAGTGAATAAGTGGGGTTAGAGTGATGTAAAGGGGGTATATATAGAGGCACAAATGATAATTTTTTTTTTTTTGGGAAATGATAAGAGATAGTTGTATAATTGAGGGTGCATGAACATAAGCCAATGGCTTTTTTCAGACTATTTAGGTGGAATTAGAGATTTTGGACTGTGGTGTAGGGGTTGGTTCTAGGAAACTGCCTTATGTAAAGTTGGTAGGGGTTATAACTTGTAACTAAAAAGGGTGCGTAGATCTGCAACCAGTTGTTAAGCACATACTCAAAAAACATAGGGTATTATTATATTGTAATTTTATGTGATATGAACAGATTTGTCGCGGCTGGTGGTGTTTTGTCGTTATTAGTACGTAGATTGACAAATTTGGATATCCAATTATCTAGGGGGAGGGAGATAATTACTATTCTTATTATTAATATTAGGTCAAGAAAATGAGAGACCTAGTAGATACATTGAATAGAGTGTTACTATTGAAGGTTTTTTAAGTGTTATTATTGCTTCAATTTCACTGCATTTTCTTTTGTCATATAGTCCAGATTCATAAATGAATCCTTGGGATCTTTAAATAGCGATCTTTTGTGTACAACTTCCGTACAACAACAATGGTTACATGGTTCCTACAAGAATCACAAAAAGGATCAATATTACGTCAGTCACAATTTATGCCACCGATAGTATAGCCACATGGTTCTTTGTATAATTTACTTCAACAATAGCTTGTTACTTGAGCAAGAACTTCTCTTCAACATCCCAACTATGGACCTAGCTGAACCGAAGAGCCCCGAAGTCCCACGGATATCATAGAATTACGTTAGGTACCATATGAATAGGCCCGAGAAAACCCCTGTATAGCTTCTTCGATTTCTCGATAAAGAGCAATATGACCAACAGTGGTTCGAATGTATATAAAAAGGATCCTTTCACCTGAAAATAAGTTCGTTTCTTAAATAGTGTTAACGAGGGAAATGCCTTAAAGCAACAATAAAGTTATCTCCGTGTGACTTATAGGTCACAGGTTCAAGCCGTACGTAAAAGCAGCCATTAATCCTAGTTTTACGGTAGGCTGTGTATATTATACTTCTTGAAGTGTGGTGCTTCCCCGAACCCTACGTGAACGTGGAATATTTGGTGCACTAAATTGTCTTTTTTTTTTTTACTGAGCATATCATTTTTAACCAGAATTTACTTTGTACCCTTTACCGACGAATTAACTTTCTCATAACTAGATACAACAATCGCTAGAAGTAGAACAAAACCACACTAAGCAAAGCAAACAGAGGATTAATATTTAGTACTAGCTAGTTTCGCTAACAAAACGTGTCTTTACCTTTTTACTTGGTTTTTCTTTGTACCTCATTTTTTTTAAACTGCAAATAAGGCTGTAACAGTCCAACTCACCAATAATATTGTCCCTTTGTCTCTAGCCCGCACGGCTTTAAAACACATCACTATGGTTCAAAGTTTGTTACTTGTATAAGTTAACAAGATTTAACCCCTAATGACGTATTTTAAATATAGAGCGGATAATATTACTAGCGAGATGATTTGTTACGAAGGCAATAACAACTAAAGTAGTATCAACTATTTGGAGAAGGGGCGAGAAATAAGGTTTTGTTGCAATGAGTAAGGGGATTTGGAAATAAACGTAGAAAACAAGAAGTCGAGAAATTTTTTAGTACCAATCATTCTCGTACTAGCTAGCTAGGTAGGGTTTTAACATAAAACAAGGGGGAGCGTTTAAAACATGAGAGACAGTAAAGCCAGAATTAGCTGTTTAATCATAATTAACAACATCATTATGCTATATTATTATCACTCTAACGCCGTATTCATGTTAAAATTCCTATTATTAGCATTTTTTTTTTTAAATTTAAAACACAGAGAATTGTCAAGTGGGGTTACAACTTTTGACTAACTTTACAGACTTACAGCTAGGAATCCAAATCGAGATCTCTTTTGCCCTATAACCAGCGGCTGTGATCAATCGACGAGTGAAAAAGGTGAGATATGCACTAGTTAATTCAAGCAGCTTGAGGATGACTTCAAGTAGCTCCACGTAGGAATGGACCCCACTAACAGCCTGGACGAATCTCACGTGATTCGAGTCTGCATTCCTTTGACTTTTCAGCTTCGTTTTATCTGGGGAAATATTGGCCTAGGTCCACTCGCTTTATCGGTGCGTGTCCACCACTATCCAAGTCTCAAGCACATTCTCTCTTGGCCGTTTGAATAATGAATGTGTTAAAAAAAAAATTCGAAAAAGTTATCTATCTATACTATATTAAAAGCCCGAAGGCTCTTAGCGAAATATCGTTCGTCTTTTTTATTCTTTGAAAATAGAATTCACATTAGACAAAATAGTCATTTAATTATTTTTCTAAGATTTAGAAATTTAAAACCTATTAAATCTTTGTTTACTAAAGTTTTCCTTGAACTATGTAGGAAATCCTAACATTTAAGATTTCAAAACTAATTAAAATTTTACCTTTTATAGATTCTTTTCTAAAATCGATTAAAATTGTACCTTTTATAAAAAGAATTCAGAAGCTGAAGAAGATTAAATACATGTAGTTCTTGCAATCTCTATTACTGCGTCATGTGTATTACTATTACGTAAAGAGTTGGAACCTTTAGTTGATCAAAATAATAGGGAGATTGGGTAATACTTAATTGCTATGACAAGAACTTAAAAAGACGAAAGAATAAAATTAAAAACATGAAAGATAAGAACTAATTTGATAAAATTAAGTAGCGTGGGAAAAGCGAGACGAACAACCACCGCCAAAGTCCTTAACATGATCAACAGTAATTTCTTTTTTCTTTTGTTAAATTTTATTTTATAACTCATTCGCATATTTGGAATATTATTTAAAAAATTTAAAAAGTTTATTTTATTCATTAAAAATAGATTTCATATTAGATAAATTAAGCTTTTTTTTAAATATTTAGGACCACAAAATAAGGAAGCTTTATTTCAAAAATCATTTCCTTATTTGAATGGTGCAAATTAAATATAATTCAATTATAATAAATTATAGAAAAATTAAAAATAAAATTCAGTTAAAATATCAAGACTTTTGGTCATTATATTTAATCGTTGGGTAGAAAAGCAGTTATTTTGAATAGTTCAAAAGCGTTTGTTTCTTAGTCTCTCTCTTCCTATATTTTTTATGTTAAAGGTGGTTAAAAAATTCTTACTTCCATTTTTTTGTCTTTTTATTTTATTTTATTAGAATAAATGAAATCATTTTGGGATTAAAATATATAGCAATAAACTTAATTAATGCAAAAATATGAAATATACAACATATTAATTAGTTGTATTGTCTATCTAATTATGATTTGACTCTTTTATTTATAAATATGCAGAAACTAATAAATATTCTACTTGAGTTGAAAAATACATCTATAATTAAAAAACAACCATCCTTTGAAGTAGTTGTCTTAATTTACTAAAACCTTATTTCATTAACTCGAGTAATTTTTCCTACACCAGCCAAATATTTCATAATTTTATTTGTATATAGTCTTGATGCATATTTAAAAGAGACTTTTAATATTTCAAATATATTTTTTAAATATGCTATTTTTCCAAAAAAATAAATATATTTTCATTGATATGGGGTACACGCACAACACGCATACTCTAAGACTAATATACATAAAAGTCGGAGGGAATTAATGTATTCGTCTTAAAGGTTGTTGGTAAAATTAAAAGTATTTATAGTTAAAAAATAAAATTAATAAATAAACAAATAAATATTATTCAGTCTAAGCTATAGATATCTCGTTTTTAAAGTTTTTCAAATCCTTTCAAATCGCATCTTTATCAGTCCAGCAGTAATACTTTTAACTTGTCCCTCCAGCATACAACAGTCTATAACGTTGTATAACTCAAACAAACTTTCAACAAGTTGTTGAGTTTAAAGTTCTACCACAAGAAATACCTTCCTTTAACAAAACAATATTTTCTTTTGAAGAGAATAAGTTAGACTTAGATTTTCTCCTTCTCTTAACTCTCTTTTTCAGTATACCAATTTTATTTTTTTCATAGACACTACAATACTTTTTCTGTACCACAACGCAAGGAAGAAACATCATTATTTATAAGTATAAAATTTCTTTCATATTAGAATAAATAATAAAATATCGAGGTAATTTCTTTTTGAGAAAAAAGAGGTTACTGGACAAGCGAAAGAGATGCCGAAAGAGCAGATGCTTTTATTTGAAATAAAAGCATTAGCCGAGCCACCTAGCTCAAGGCTAACCCCTCCACACTCAGGACCAGGAACCTCGCGGTGCTTACACCTCTTGCCTATCGAAGTTCTGTTCAAAAACCTCGTCCGTGAACTTGTATAGAGAAGGATTTCCCGCGGCGCAGCAGTTCTTCCATACCAACTTAGCTGCCCGGCGCTGCTATTGGCATAACAACCGATACACTTCATTCACTTGCTCATGAACTCGCAGCTTCTCCAGAAGCGACGAGAGGGGGCTGGGGAAGGCCGACGACTACATGAGGGAGCTATAGAATCAGCATCTTACTTTTTAACGGCAAGCTCAACAACAAGAAGTTTTCCTCTGCTGGAAAGTAGTCCTTCACGGTTTCGTTCTTCAAGGAGACCCATGTGCATTTCCTATGTTCTGCGCTCGCTACGCCCTTGTGCCTTTAGTTGAAGTATAGGTCGTCGATCTATCTTGATGGGATATTTCTAGTAGGTAGCGAGAAGACTAGTAGTATCGACAAGAGGCTACATCAATAGCTGAAACTTTTTTTCGGATAGGGGAGGGTCCCACTCCAGTATCCGCTTTGATTCATCCAGTTACTATGCGAACGGGCATTCAAGCATGGACTCAATTTGTCTGGGATAATTGTAGAGTATGGTTGATGGTTATAAATTTAATCCTTAGTGGGTAATTAGTGATAGATGATAATATTAGTAGTTTAATGAATTACACCAAAAATAATGATCTCTTTCTTGTCAATTTGCAGTCATTACCTCACAAGAAATAATGCATTTTAACATTAAAATGCACATAACACCAACAAAGGCTTTACATATTGGAATTCCCAAGAA